TCCCTATGATTTGCAGGTAATGCCTTATCACCTGCTAGATTATATCCCTTTTTATTTTAATGAATTTTATCTTTTATCTTCAAAAAAAAAAAAAAAACATGCAACCTCATTGATCTACTGGGGCTGCCACTCCTGCATTAATAATAGTCTCAGATGTGAACTGCAAGTGTTCTCATCAGAAGCATTAAACAACAAATCATCATCCAATTGAATAAAAAACTAATTATAACTTTTATTTTCAATTGAAGCCATTCACAAATTGTGTGCAACTTTCATTTCAATTTTCAAACAAGATTTTAAGAATTGGCATGTTCTCAATTCAAACAGGTATCTTTTTCTTTCATAACTTTCTGTCAATGCTGCCTGCAGCTTGGTGCCATTCTGCAATAAAGAAAGCTCCCTAGCAGCATAGCACCATCACTTTAATAGAGCTGCATCAACTCCAACAGAGTGGCATGCTGGTAGAATGTTTCCATGGCTCCAAGAGGGGGGGGGGTTACTTCGGGGGGGTTACTTCTGATCCCCAAGGCCAAAAATCCAGAAACGAGAGGACATGTTAAAAGAAATATAAAAAAACATACAAGTTTATTTCCTTTCTGTCTTTCTTTTTTTGATCAGTAACAGAAGCATTTCATTAAATAATAAAAATAATTATAATTACAAAGGTGGGAGGAGTTAAACTCTCTTAACTCCCCCAGAAAGGAAAAGGAAAATCACAGCATAGCTCACAATAGCTGATCCCTTCCCACCCCTTGTTTGGCTAGTGGATCTGCGAACGAATTAGCAGACATTTCCTTTTCTCTCTTTCAACGACCACACATCTTCACTCTTTTTGAAAGTTCTTATTTTTATCTTCAACCACTATGCCTTAGTTTTAGGCCTCGAGTTCTCTAATGTCTCTGTTTTACCACTGTCATTGGGAAAAATATCTCTCATTTGGTGGGTTTGCATTCTCAAGGATTTTTCTGGCTTAAAGCAGAATCATCAGAAGTCAATGGGATCAGATCATGTTCGAAGAGAGGGCATACTTGTTTTTGAGTTTCATGTCCATAGTTAATAGATTTTTTATATCCTTGTTCACATTCTCAGTTTGAGGGAGCCTTTTCCTCTTTTATAACAATTACCATTTACCAAAGAAAATGTCTTCACTGGAAAGTCTAGTCTAGCTCTTGAACTTCCTTCCTTTTAATCTTCATCAGTCCTCTCTTTTTATTCTCATCATATGATATTTAGAAACAGGTTAGTGTATCAGAATAAGAGTATACAATCAATTGAAAACTTTATAAACATAAAAAAAATGTTTTATAAAAAGGGTATGTGCCTGGGTCACCTTGTGCTTCAATCCTGAGACACTTAGGTGCAGAGGTTTGTAATTTTAGGAAGAGGGTGTATTTGGGCTCAGGCAAGGTGGACCCCACAAAAGTCATTAAAACTCCCTTTTAGACTAGTGAGTGGGTAAAAAAGAATACTTTAGAAAGTTTTTAGGAGTTAAATCAAAGTTATGGTATCTTTTTATTTTTGATTTCCTAGGGTTTTGAGGGAAGTATATGTTTTTGAAATATGGGAAGGTGCGACTTCTCTTAACATTCTTCTTCTGTTTTTTTTCCTTCTTACATCACAATGTTTTTTTTTTTTTTTTTTTTTTTTTTTCCGATCAGCAACAAAGAACATGAATTTTATTATCAGCCCAAGTATTAGCCATCTTGGAACCCATTGAATTTTCATCTGCATGTTCATTACATCACAATGTTCATTACTATTTTAATCCATGTTGTGGAGCCAATATCTTGATTTAAGTTATTACATTGAGTGGATGTAACCTTGGTTTTGGTACCCATATCATGTTTGCCCATGGTAAAGTTCAATGGTTATTAATATTTCGAGTTATTGAGAGCTGATTTCCCTTCCTTCCTGGCTTCCCTGACAAAAATCAGCTTGTTATTAACTCACAATATTGGGTCCAATAACAAACACTTCTTGTCTGAAATTTCATTTATTGAGGATCCAAATAGATTGGTGGTCTTTACCACAACCACAAATTAAAGCACATCCTACCATTACTGGTACCTGGTATTTGAGGGAATATGTTATGTGGGTCCAGTTAGGATTTCTAAGGAATTGTGACAACTTTGGTAAAAAGTCTCTCTTTTTACATGCTTGCGCTAGTCTTTTTATTTTGCTCCTAGTGTCTACTTTTAACTAGAACGTGCTTGATGCCCAACTTGCATGCCTCATTTTCAGATCAATGGTTTGTTATTTATTTACTCTTTATTACTTGCTGCTAACACTCATTGCCACATGTTATATTTTCCAGAAATGAACAAGTTGCAGCTGCTTCAATGGATGCCATAAAGAACTTGGCTACTTATCCTAGAGGCATGGTAAGGATTGGCTTATGGTTGCTCTTTGAGGTCAATGCCTTCAATACATTGGAATTCATAATAGAAACACTTACTCATCTGAGGTAGTGCGGTCATGTGTCTTCTTGCATTTTTCCAAATATGTGTAGGATATCATTTTTCCAGCTAATGGTGATGAAGTTACTCAGCTGAGGAATTTAGCATCCCATTGTTCATCACTGGTATGAGAATTGATACTCTGAAACTTTTGGGAAATTCTGATTGTAATGCTCTGACAATTTGTATTAAATTGAATTTTAGATTCTTAGTGCCCTTTTTCCAGTAAGTTCTAATTAAATGTGATCGGTTGTTTTCTAGTTTCAATGTAAATTTTGTCATTTATAGAAAAACTTATGCCTTGTGATTTTGTTTACTCTCGTTCCTTGCTATCAACAAATTAATAATCCATAAAAATCCTTTTGTTCATGTTTTTTATTTTGATATCATCAAATATAAATGTGATCTTAATTTCAGTTCATTTTTAATGATACTGTGAAGACCTATCTACTATGTCTTCTTTTTCTAATTAAATATTTAGGTAGAATTAGAGTAGTAGAATTTGGTTAGAGTGATAGAGTTTAGAGGACTTGAAAGAACATTTAATGTGATGTGAACTGAGGGAAATTAGGGTTGTGACAATTGCTGTGTTGATTCTGTGAGCATCTTTATTTGGAGAGAAGCCTTAATTCGTTATTTTGATGGGAAAAGTTGAATTAGAAGAGGAACTTAGGTTTAACAGAGGCACAAGTGTTTAGGGTGTTTAGGGTGCTCAAATGGGACTCAGCCATCCTTGGTGCATTCTGTTAAGCTATTCCAGGATTTTATTTTCATATTGGTCATATTAAACCACTATTCTTCTTGGTATCAGTGAAATGTTAGAATCTTTGAGATTTTGGATTTATTTGGTTCTGCAATTTTATGGAGTGCTTGTTGCAAGTGAAGTGTTAAGAATCCTTTTTTTTTTTTTCTAAAAGTTCTATTAATAATCAATAGAAAAAGTTATACAATGAAGGCTTCCCATACAGAGGCGTGAGGTGCAGCCTCAGTTCAATATACTGAATTACAATTGAGCCCAACATAAGTGATTCTTATGCACCCCTTGCTTAGCTAAAAAAGTCTGCCATCCCATTAGCTGATATCCTTTCCCATTGAACTCTTACAGTCAGTGAAGCGTTAGAATCTTTGAGAACTAATATGCTCCCATTGAGCATTATTGATCTTTGCCTTTAGTTGCATTTTGGGTGAAGACTAGAGATGAGTTTAAAGGAATTTTTTTTTTTTGATAAATGGGTGCAATTTTATTAATCAGAGACAGAGTGTACAATCAGCCTAAGAGGAGGCACGAGATGTTACCTCCCCTTGGAGCTGAGCAATATGCAAATAAAAACACACTACCCTGAATTACAATTATAAGGTAGCCCAAAACAGGTTACCCCTTGATACCCCTTGTTTAGCCAAAGAATCAGCTCAAAAGATCCTTGTAACTCCAAAAGATTGTTTCTGATTTGTCAGCCAGCCCACTACCACCTTGGAGTCCTCCTCAACTATCAAGTTTTCCACTGCAAGTTGACTAGCAACCTGTATGGCTTGTACTGCTGCTAGTATCTCAGCCCTTATAGAATCTCCAACATCCACTGGTCCTGAGAATAAAGATAGGATATTGCTGTCTTTATCTCTCAGAATCCGTCCTGTGCCTGAGGGCCTTGGATTGCCTTGACTGCCTCTGTCAAAATTCAATTTTATTATTCCGTCTGGAGGGGTTTCCATTCTGCTTGTAGTCTGTTCTTTGTGGAGGCTGTGGATGCCACTGCTGTCCAATTTCTCCTTAAATCGTCAAAAGAGTAATCCACAAACAAGTCCCTAGTTTTCAGCCAAGAGGTTGTCCTTGTCATTATACACTCCTTTACTTAAGCAAGACTTCTTTCCTTTTCTTGAAAAATTCTAGCATTCCTCTCCTCCCATAAAGTCCACAAGTTAGCTTCTCTGATACGCTTCCACATTAGCTTCCCTCTCTTTGTCAATCTCCCAAAGGCAGATGGAACAAACAACAGATTTACTTCAGAGGAGTTTAAAGGAATTATTATTGATTTAATTCTTAAAGGATGGCTTATGGTGTCTCACTTTTCTCTGCAAAAACAAGTAATACCTGAATTATGGAGACATATTAAACTAATTTTTTTTTGATAACTGAAAGAAATTTATTAATCAGCAATGAGAAATAGTACAATGTACCCAAGGAGAGGCACGTGATGCAACCTCTCCAAGCTAGTTAAGTACAACTTTCCAATATACTAGAACAAGTTTCAATGTAGCACAAAAAAGACCTTCCCTGGAAACCCCCCTGTTTGGCCAAAGAATCAGCCATAGTATTAGCTGACCTACTTACCCATTTAACCTCAATCTCATATTATTGGTTAACCATTTTATTTTTTTGATGAGGTCTTTGTGGCCCCAAATGGTAGCATCTAGTTTTAGAAGCCACCCTGTTACCACCTGAGAGTCCCCTTCAATTAGGAGATGTTCCACCCCAAGCTGGTTAGCGATCTGAATCCCTTGTACAACAGCTAGTATTTCTGCCCTTGTAGAGTCCCCCACTCCCACCGGTCTTGAGAATAAGGAGATGATGCTGCTATCCTTATTTCTCAGGACACCCCCTATACCCGAAGGCCCAGGGTTTCCTTGGCTGATCTCATCAAAATTTAACTTGATGACACCTTTTGGGGGCGGATTCCATTCCAACAAACTTCTATTCTTCTTGGTAGAAGTATTAGCTATTACTAATCAATTCCTCCACAGGTCATCAAAAGATAAATCAACAAATATATCCAAGGTTTTTTGCCAATGTATTGCTCTTGTTAGAATGCAATCATTCACTTTATCCATGCTTCTTTCCTTCTCTAAGAAGACTCTTGCATTCCTTTCCTCCCAGAGAGTCCATAAGGTGGCTGCCTTGATACATTTCGACACGAACTTGCCTCTTCTTGTGTGCCGTACAATAATAGATGGGTTAAGTAACAAATTCACATCAGATGGCGGAAACCACCTACCTCCAAATAAATTAAGGCTTCAACTCCATAAGGTTGTAGCAAAGGAGCAGGAGATCAACAAATGGAAACAGCCCTCATTCTAGGCCTTACATAAGGAACACCAATTTGGGGAAGGACAAAAAAAAGGTCTCTTTTTCTGCAAGTTTTCCAAAGTATTGATTTTCCCGTAGTAAACTTCCCAGCAGAATACAGCAATTTTTGGAGGAATAGGTCGCACCCAAACTTCTTTAATAGGGAACACTTGAGAACTGGGGTTGGAGCTGAGGGATTTTAGAAAAGAAGCACAAGTAAAGGTACCTTTTGGAAGAGGAGTCCAAACTCTTTGATCAGAAGATGTGGGGTCCAAACAAACTAACTCAAGTAAATGAAGTAGCTTAGTGACACAAATTAACTCACCATTCTTTAATCCCTTATGAAATCCAAAGTCCCAGTTTAAAGACACGGGAATAAATGGGTTCGGAAGAAAATTTGCAATTGGCTCATTTTTGAGGAGAGAGAGTAAAGCGAAGGGAATCGATCTTTGAGGGGTTGATTACCCACCCAAACATTCTCCCAGAACCGAATAGAATCACCAGAGCAAGCATCATACCTGATAAACCTGAGGAAGTGAGGGAGAAGACCATGTATTAGCCTTCCAAGGTGTTGTAAGGGTAGCTCGACGAGATATCCCGATATCCCACAAATTTACGGAGCAGCCATGAATACTTGACACCACCTCATGCCATAATCTCTCTCTCTCCTGAGGCCATCTCCATAACCACTTCCCTAAGAGGGCTTCATTCTTTTGCACTATGTTCCCTATCCCTAGGCCCCCCTCTTCCTTAGGTTTATTAATGATCTCCCATTTAACTAGATTGTCCTTTTTCACCTCTCTTGGTTCCCATAGAAAGTCCCTCATTACCTTCTCCAGTTTCTTAGCCTCCGTTGGGGGGATCCTGAAAACTAAAAGGAAGTAGGTTGGAAGGTTGTCAAGTGTGGCCCTAATCAAAATCACCCTACCCCCTATTGAGATGTAATTCTTTTTCTAGGCTGCCAAGCATTTATCAAATTTCTCCACAATAGGGGCCCGAAACTACTTTCTTTAGGGTTGGCTCCTAAGGTGAGACCTAAGTAGGTCAAAGGCCAAGAAGAGGTGGTGCAACCTAAACACCCTGCAATGGATTCTATCTCCCAATCCTCCATGTTTACTCCAGCCACACAACTTTTATCAAAGTTTATCCTCAAGTTGGAGGCAAGCTCAAAGGCTCTTATTAAATTCTTAAGGTTGTTCACCTTGCTTAAATCATTCCCTTCACAGAAAATAACAATATCATTAGCAAACTAAAGGTGAGTTACTGAAATGCCTCTCCTCCCTATTTTCCAACCCTTTATTTGGCCCTCCTCATCTTCTTTGGAGATCAATCTACTAAGAACATCAACAACAAGTGTAAAGAGGAAAGGAGAAAGTGGGTCACCTTGTTTTAAGCCTCTATTGGCTGGAAAGAAATCCTTAACCACTCCATTAACCAAGACTGAATAATGACATGAATTTAAACATCCACTTATCTAATTACACCATTTGTCCCCAAACCCACGCCTTCTTAACACCTCCAACAAGAAACCCCAATCCACTAGCTCATAAGCCTTTTCCAAGTCCAATTTGCAAACACAACCTTTTTCTGTCAGACCTCCTTATCTCTTCCACACTCTCATTTGCAATGAGGATCTGATCTATAATTTGTGTGTTCTATACAAAGGCTCATTGTGCTTGGCTAATGAGAGAGGGGAGAACTACTTTGATCCTCCTAGAGAGCACTTTGCCAAAATCTTATAGATGCTAGTCACCAAGTTGATTGGCCTAAAATCTTTGGGGTGTTTGGCACTAGTCTTTTTAGGAACTAGAGCTAGAAAAGTGGCATTGATTTCAGGAATTTTTTTTTGATAATTGAAAATAACAAAAATGTTTATCCTCAAATTCTCTAATGGCTCCAATTAAATCTTCTTTTATTATGTCCTAGCAGTCCTGATAAAATGCCATTGTAAACCCATTTGGATCCGATGCCTTAGCTCTATGCATAGAAAAGACAACTTGTTTAATTTCCTCTTCCTCAATCATTCTTTCTAACCATCCCCTATCTATCTCATTCAAAGTTGGC